ACATTAGTGGTTTTCTGCTCCTGTGAAACTTGTAGAAACTCTGGAATCTCTTTTTTCAGGTCTAGTGCTAGAAACTGCAAGGGGTGGCACTGCAGCTTCGTGCCTTCTCTCATCTCCCCGACTGAAACTACTCTTATTTGAAGGCACGTTACTATCAAAGATGTTGGTATCAGATGACTTTAGACTAGATGGGTCTGGAAAGAAAGAAACACACTACTTCACTACTTATCTTACTTTGACCCTTCTTCACACCAAAATTTATACTTTTTTTAAAAGATTTATTTTATTTATACAAGAGCTGGGGTACAGGCCAGATGCACGGGACGGTAAGAGGATTCACCAGAGACAGAGCAGGGAACAGAACAGGCAGACGAATGAAATATACTGCTGAGGGGAGCAGTGGGCGACACAGGAGAGGTCTGCTCGCCATGTGGGTTGCTCCGAGGCTGGTGGGGATAGAACTGGCACTGCCGAGGCGGATGCAGACAGCTTCACAGCAGCTCTGCCCTCAAGCGCCTGCGCCACCAGGAAGGCCCTGAGGCAATACATGTTTTAATGGCCTAGTATTATTCCATGCATAGTAATATAATTTACCCATGTACTATTACTGGACTTTTAAGTAATTTTCTACTTTTCTAAAGATTTTATTTATTTATGCATACAAGAACTGGAGTGTAGGCCAGAGGTGTGGGGGTGGGGCATGAGGGGATGAGAGGATTCACCAGAGACAGAGTGGGGAGCTGAACAGGAGGACTGACTGAAATACACTGCAGAGGGGAGCAGCGGTGAGACAGGAGAGATCTGCTGCACCACGTGTTAGCTCCCTGGCAAGGGATTAAACTTGCGCTGCAGTGACTACCAACCGCTTCATAGTGCTGTGACTTAACCCCTTGCGCCACCAGGGAGGCCCACTTTTAAGTAATTTTCAATTACAAAGTATTGAAACATCCTTGAAGCTAAATCACTACACATATCTATAATAATTTCCTTAGGATAACTTACATAGTTCCTCTTCCTTGTTTAAAATGTCTCTGAATCGTATTAATTTCTCTTAAATTCATAAAAATAGGTGCTTCCTAAAAATGGTCAAATTACTACTTTCAAATTTGTTTTCCCCAGATTAGCACAAATAACATTAGAAAAAAGAAATCACATACTATAGGAAATTCCAAAAATATACTGACATTTTAATAAATTTTACCTGTTGTAACAGAGCGAAGTTTATCTAATACACCATGAAGCCTGAAAGAAAAAAAAAATTAAAGCTTACTTCAATCAAGATTTTATTTAAACTGGACATTTGAGGGCCCTCCCTGGTAGCGCAGGGGTTAAAGACAGTGCCATGAAGCTATCACCAGCCACTGCCGCACAAGTTCGACCCCCGCTGGCCAGGGACCTAACCCACATGGCACAGTAGACCTCCCCTGTCTCGCCTGCTACTCCCCTCTGCAGTGTATTTCAGTACATCTACCTGTTCTGCTCCCCACTCTGTCTCTGGTGAATCTTCTCACCCCAGGACCTCTGGTTTATACCCCAGTTCTTGTATGCATAAATAAATCTTTTTTTTTAAAAAGATAGATTTATTTATACAAGCACTGGGTAGTCAGAAGCGCAGGCGGGTGAGAGAATTCACCAGAGCCAGAGTGGGGAACAGAACAGGCAGACCGATGATATACACTGCTGAGGGGAGCAGCGGGCGCGGCAGGAGAGGTTGAGCCAGTGGGACCCTCGCCGGCTGCCGAGGATCAAACTGGCGGCCGAGAATCAAACCGGCGCTACAGAGGCTGCAGACAGCTTCGCAGCCCAGCGCTCAACCACTGCACCACCAGGGGAGGCCCTAAATAAATCTTTAAAAAAAAAAATAGACTTGACATTTGAGTCTCAAATGTCAGATAAATGGTACAAAGTGGTATTCTATGACTAATATTTTTCTACAGATTTATTTATTTATACATACAAGAACTGGGATGTATGCCAGAGGTGTGGGAGGTGAGAGGATTCCCCAGAGACAGTGTGGAGAAGAGAACAGTCAGATCTACTGAAATATACTGCTGAGAGGAGCAGCAGGTAAGACAGGAGAGGTCTGCTGTACCATGTGGGTCAGCTCCCTGGTCGGGGATCAACTCATGCTGCAGAGCTAGTGATAGTTTGATAGCACTGAGATTTTAAACTGTGCACACCAGGGAGGCACCGACTAAATAGTATTAATGTTAACTTTCAAGTTTCAGTTTTTAAAAGTTTTTAGAATAATGCTATAGAAGCTAATCAAAAATCCTATTTTTCCATCACTTATTTTCAGATCTAACCTCTATAAAAATGAGGACAAGGTTATCATGATCAGTCTTGCAAATAAATTGTTTCATAAGGACTAAAGACATAATGTTGCTTAAAGTAAAATAAAATATCACAAACACAATACACTTTATTTCCACTGATTAAGCAGTTGAAATTTATCTACTTATGAAAGGTTTCTGGGAAAAATTAATTTTGGTAAGCAAAAAAAGTATATTCCCAAAATACACATTATCACTTGACTATAACTATTACCAAAAAAACTAATGGCTTATGCAAGGATAAGTCACAACCTTACCTATAAAATATATCCTATTTTAGTGGATATGTACATCGCAAATTTCCCCTAAAGTCCTTCCAAGATGCTGTGCCTACTAAAAACATAAAAAAAAAACTTTCTTTCTTTTTACAATGTTTCTCTCAGAAACCTAGTCACATGACAATGTCTCCAAGGACAATTATGGCAGGCCTCCACAAAAATGGGTTTATGTTTGCAGTTGGTGGGTGGCAATGAACACTTAGGAAAGCAATGTGACACCATCACTTGTATTAGTATATGTTGAAGAACTGAATTTACGGGAAGATGAGAAAATTAATTTTATTTTAAATTCAAATCCACTTAGCTGTCTGCTTGTGTAAGAATTTATCTAAAGCATTCCATCAGGTGACCCAAAGGTTGAAGAAAAAAGTCAGGTCATAAAAAATGCACGCGAAACAAAAGACTGAAGAGTTTAAAAAAAAAAAAAAAAAAAGGGCACTCATGACCAATGATAATCACCCCAGTCAAAGGCACCACGCTCTTTTTTGACTTTTTTTTTTTAATGGGGGCAGGGGTGGGTGGGGAGGGATAAATTCTAGGAACAAAGTGGGTCAGGTCACCCACACAGTCTATGGGCCGAAACATCTGAAGGGCTACCACACATTCAATGTTCTTCAAAATCGTTATATGGACCTAGAGATTTCCATGTGGAATTTCAAGAAAGCTTTGTAAGAGTTATAAGGCATATAATAGGGGCAAAATGTCATTAATATCATCTTTGGTTTCAAGGCAAGAGGTTATCCAGTTCTGTTTCCTTCCTTGGAGTCTCCTAGTTCTTCACCATTCAAATTAAGCAGGTCACTTTGCTCACTCAACGTCTGCCCCATCATCAAATTGCACTGTAAATGAAGTTCCCAGTGAGAGCCTCTACGTAAGGATGTGCCCCATTCTCAGCAGCATTATTAACCTCTCCTAGCCATGACTCTACCTCAAACCATAAAATTGAATTTTATGTTTTAGTCAGTATTCTCAACTAAGGCATATGGGGGCTTAAAAAGATACTGAAAATTATGTTAAATTTACAGTTGAACATAAAGCTGCCTATTTAAAAATCCCAAACTTTACGTTCCATAGTTTTATAAACTGATTTGAAATTTTGTCAAGAAAACCTTGCCCCCTAAGAGTTAACTCACTGGACAAAGCATTTTGGACATCAATCTAGTCCAAAAAAACCATGGGGAAGAATGGGAGTAAGATGCAGCAACATCTTATGGGCCAGGCACATTAGCTGTGAGGACATTACATGTATTAGCTCATTTAATCCTCACAACAATCCTATAAAGGGGATTTACCATTTCCATTTAATAGATGGAGAAACCAAGGTATGAAAAAGATCCAGGATTCAACCTCAACAGTCTGGCTCCATAGGCTGTGCTCACAACCTGTCTCTCTACAACGAAGCTGATATGCCTATCAAGAACCTCTTTGATAGCAGAAAAAACACCTACTCTGTCTCATACCAAGCTTTGGTCTGAGGGGTAGATAATTCAGAAACCTACCATACGGTGAATCGAACTGTGTTGTTCCCTAGAAACAGGGACAGGTCCTCTGTCATTTGGTCCTGACTTTTCTTGTTGGCCACCATCACCATAATGTAATCAGGAAGTTCTTCATCTATTTAAAAGGAAAAGTATATAAAAACTTTTTTATGTTTTCCTTAATATTTTCTTCTACTTAGAAGTTGTCTTGCTTGAAAATACATACTTAGTTCTAAGAATTAACATGTCAGCTATACTGGAATATGTTGAACAAGAAAGTTTTCTCCATTCCAGAGGTATTTCAATTACTAGAAAAATGGGAATAAGGATTAATACTTACAAAACTAAATAATCTAAATTACAGAATCAAACTTGAGAGTGCATTTATTCCTTTAAGTCTTCCATAAAATGCTCGTTAGTTTCAAAGAGGCTTCCAGGAAGCACATTGGCATTCCTTAAAAATAACTGAGTTTTGCGCTTACTTACATTCCAAAATGTTTAAGAAAATACTTTTATCCTTGGTAAAGCAAAGTTCAATCACTCAGGCTAACACATCTGCAGCAACGTAAATGAAAACTACCCTAAAACCCTACACATCATTGTAAAAGTCCCATCTTACAATTGGTTAAATAACTTTACTTCAACTGATTTAGCCTCATTCCCTCCTACACAGTGATTATGACGTGAGGGTTAGGGACAAAACAACAAAAAAAACCACCACTCCAGTAAGAAGAGAAGGAAGTAAAGACCGTTTATCAGGTACTTTAATCCCTACCCGCCCCCCCCCCAAAAAGCCCTTTAGACCTGACACCTTAATAACCCATAATACATCTCTGTAGACAAAAGGTTCATTAAAGAAATACTCAGACATTTATTTCAAGGAAAAATATCGAAAATATAGTTCAAAGAAAGCACAAATACAATGAAAAAGCCCCATCTACAAAGTGAGAAATTACAGTATTTGATGGAAACGTGCATATGACAAAAGAGACAAATAATGAAAAGTCATTTATTATTTTCTTTGTAGACTTATCAAAAGGTTCCCACTGCTTTCAGGGAATTACAGTCAATACATCCGCTAGTCTACTTATGCAAAGTGGACTTACTATAAGCCACCCTGGTAAATCAGGAAAGGTCAACAAAAAAGCTTAACTACTTTAGCAATCCTGACAGTTTTCCTCCCTCATAATGTCAGTGACAAACACAAACAGACTGTGTTTTCTGTCAATATACATTAACTTGCATTTTCTAAAATTTTATATGAACAGGACCACTGGTTGCCTGGTTACAGAGTGGGAGGCCAGGGACAGGGAGCTACAAAGGAGCTCCAGGATACTTTGGGGGGGGCAATGAATATGGTCATTAATTTGATTAGCGTACATATCAAGACACAGCAAAATGTTATACTTTAAGCGTGTAGTTTAATATACAGCAGTATCTTAAGAAAGCTTACTAGAAATTTATATTGTTTTCTCACTAGATACAAATGGGAAATAATCTAACAAAAAATGTGTTCACAATATATTTTCTACATAATTCTAATCTATTTCTCAAGTTCACTTGAAATCCACATACCGAAAATTTTTTTTTAAGATTTCTGCTAGTATTTCTAAATGTAAACTGTTCTGAATCATACTTTGACATCTCACTAAAATGTTCCATTTTAAACACACACATGAGTAAAAAGGGTTGTTCACCATTGCATTGCACCCAGTGCCTTGAAAATAAATATTAAAAGATCGTATTCATAACCTTAAGGTTTCCAAGACTCCTTCCAGCACACAGAAGGGATTAGAAATTCACCCTTTTCATTGAGAAGGACCAAGTACAAATAGTTAAGTGGCAAGCTACAAACATAAATAATGTATACTTTTAAATAGAGCCTAATGGTGACCTGTTTACTCAGTTAACATTGATGGAAAAAAATCATGCTTTCAGCTATGCCACTGGGACACTTGGTATTTACCACATTAGAAATTACTACTGAGAATCTTTTATTTTTTTTAAAGATTTATTTTTATTTATATATACAAGAACTGGGGTGTACGCCACAGGTTTTGAAGGTGAGAGGATTCACCAGAGACTGAGTAGGGAGCAGAACAGGCAGATCTAATGAAATACACTGCTGAGCGGAGCAGCAGCACAGGCAGGAGAGGTCTGCTGCGTCATGTGGGCCACCTCCCTGGCTGGGGATAGAACTCATGTTACAGTGGCAGCAAGTAGCTTCAGAGCACTGAGACTTTAACCCCTATGCCACCAGGGAAGATCTTTTAAAATACTTTAACTCACTTATAATACATCTATCACATTTTAACCATACATATTTATGTTAATATAATTAAAATCAAATTTTCCATAACAAAAAAATTAGTGCAAAAATATAAGTTTTTTTTTTTTTTTTTACTCTCTTCTCTTCACTATCTGGTTAAAACAGTTGGGGGTTCTAATTTCTGCTTCTACACTTATTCTTCTCTGATCTGCTGTTCTGAGTGAAAACTCAGGAAAAAAATCTGTTCTTACACAGATAAGAAATTGCAAAAGGAGTATTTTACTAGCCTTTCCAAAAAATGTATATATTCTTCTATAATACTATGCCAAAACTCAACAGATAGTTGCTTAAAGGTAAGCAGCCATTTGGAGACTAAAACTTATTAACAAGTTTTACATACTCTTTTATATGAAAACCCATTGATCCATCCACACTTACAAAGGATCTGTTATCCTTGTATTAACACCTTGAATTGGTCTTTTGGAAAAACTACTCCTTTGCTGAGCTACAGAAACCATGTGTTGGTACATTTCATTACACAATATAAAGAATCCCTTGCTAATATCCCATTAGTTTTATCAAAAATCCCTTTTTTCCCCTGAAGACTTATTTTTTACGCGTATAAGAACTGTTGTGTAGGCCAGAGGTGGGGAAAGGGGAGGGGGAGGTATTTCACCAGAGACAGAGTGGGGAGCAGAACAGGCGGATCTACAGAATCACACTGCTGAAGGGAGCAGCTGGTGAAGACAGGAGAGGTCTGCCCACGCCATGTGGGTCAGCTCCCTGGCCTGAGAACAACTCATGCTGCAGTGGTTGGTGATAGTTTGACAGCGCTGAGACTCCTGTCCCACCAGGGAGGCCCAAAAATCCTTTTAAGTACTGGGAAGTTCTTAAAATTCATAAAGGCAGCCACAATTTTCTCAAAATCTTCATTACGCTCAACTTTTGTCATTAGCAACAATACCAACCTGGTCTTTGACTTTGCTCATTTTCAAGGGTACAAAATACCCAAATGTAACTAGTTTATCAATTCTTTAAAGTTAAAAAAAAAAATTCCAAGAAAAAGATGACTTATGAGAGTTATATAAACAACTGGCAATTAAAATCTGAGATTAAAAAAGGAAAAAGGTGGTTAGACCAGTTCACACAAGTCCTTTTCCTCAAGGCAATGCATCTTGCTTCAGTGAAGGGCAGAAATACTCATATTTTCTCACACTGCACATTAAGATGTAGTCCAGGGTCAGAGTTAAAAAAACATTTTTACTGCTCCTTCAATGACATTCTTAAGCAAAACAGACTTTTAAAAAAGTTTTTGGAAGGAAAGGTGGTGAGGAATATGGTTTCCTGTAGTTTAGTGTAAGATGCTAAATAAAAAGTTTTATCCACCACTTTCTGCAGAATCTAAATGACAGCAAACCAAAACGGTTCTGTACCATCAGTATTATTTAAAGGTAAGTTTGACTTAAAAGAGGCAAGACCTTGGGGTCTCCTGCATCTAGAAAACTACTTAGAACACACCAGAACTTTGGAGCCAAACAGACTCAGGTCTTCAATCCTAAGACCTTGCTCAAATAAGCATTCAAAGCCTCAGTTTCCCAGCTTGTGCAGCTGGAGACAGCACCACTTACCTTCCAGTGTTCTCCTGGGGATTACACGACCTAACGTATATACAAGGTTAAGCACGGTGCCTGGCCCACAGTGAATACGCAAATTATAAATCATTTAAAAAAAAAAAAGTGAGAAAAGAGGACACATTACTGTAGGAGATGAACGGGGCAGGGGTGTCAAAACATCTGAAAGTGAAACTCACTGAATCTTAACAGAGGCCAAATAAATGCCAGAAATGATCACTCACTCCTCTGCCTAACAATTCTGGAAAATGAAGATGAAGAGAGTGAGAAAGAACAGAGAATTAAAAAAACAAAAAAACAAAAAAAACAAACATCAAGAAAAACAGGATGCTGAACAGAAGGTAGCTCTGTTTGGCTAACCATTTTCAAAACCTTCTGAAAAGGGGGTTTAAAACAAAACACGAGGCCGCTTTCAACGAAAGCAATTTAAGGGGGGGAAAAAAAAATAAACCAGGGATCATCAGCCTGGAAGGGGGGGGGTGACAGGGGAGGGGGGATCTCGTCAAAGTCAAAAACTACGTCGTGGGGTGGGGGGGAGGGGAACCGCATCCACTAAAATTTAATTCGCTGCCAGGTC